TAGGGATTTTTGGTTTTTCTTTACTTTTTTGCCAAAATCATCAATTTTAAAACAATAAAAGTCTTGAACTACTTCAGTTGGTGTGCAATGAATCTTAAATATATGAAAGTTTAATGTTTATCAGTACATTACAGAAAATAATGAACTTTATCACAATATGCTAATTTTTTGAGAAGGACCTGTACATACAAAGACATAATGAAAAAGTTGAAAAGTTAAAAAAAAACATGTATACAAAGCATTTTTAAAAGGTTATAACAAATAAGATACAATACAGTGCACCAAAACACAACAAATATAAATCAGTGAACAGTTACTACTAACATCGGTTTCATTGGTAACAAGGAGCCCCAACATTCAGATGCAAGTCCCCCTACTTTGTCCTTAAATTTAAAGTAAATTTATTTAGTATTTAATCTAAATTGGCCCTGAGTGTGAGTAGGTTTGTCCCTCACTTTTTGTACAATGACCTCTGGAGACAGACACCAGTTCTCTGCATAAAGAAGCAGATTGAGAAAAGGTGAAAATTTCATATTACAAACAGTTTACGTGTTTGTGATCAGTCTCATCTACTGCCACACAAAACTTCACTTTAATATCTGCAAAACTGTGTTGGCTAAGGTTGATTAACTGTGGCTGGTTAGTTTAGTTAATTTGTTCCAAAAGTTAAGCAGTTAAAGGCGTCCATCTGGTATTTACTTTCTGAGAGTTTTGTTTAAATTCATCCAGCGGTTTGTGAGATATTTTGCTAACAGACACAGAAATAAACACAGAGAAAACATAGCAAACCCTTCACTGAGGAGACAGTAGTAAGCAGAGCTTTTTTATGACAGCTGGGAGAAACACATCATGCTTTATATTAAATTTAAAAAGTTTAATTCAAATTTTTTTATTTCATTAAAAAATACTATATACAATAATTAAAAATAATCCAAAACCAAAACATATACAAATCCAAACAAAATGAAAGGTAGCAGAAGAAGAATAAATCATATTTTTTCTGCCCCTTTTATCCCCAGAAAGTTCAAACAAAACATAATTTACAAAACTATACTAAAATAAAAAATCAAAATAAAAACAACATAAAAACATCAACTCAAACAACAAATCAAATACCTTCACATTTTACTTTTTATATTTCTTCAAAAAAACTTGCTTTAACTGTCTCTTAAAC